CTACAGACTATTATATTCCATATTTAAAACCCATAATTATTGAAGTAGAATAAAGATTATTCAGTGAAGAGAGTTTTCTTTTCGACGAATTTCTCCCCATATAACTAAGAACTTGTCCCATCGACCTCGATCTTGACTGGTTATTGTTGACTATTAAACTGTCATTGTCTTCTCCCTTCTATCTAATTCTTAGTCCCATACTTGATTATGATTTTCTGATTGACTGATATTTGATGAAGTTCGAATATTTCACTTCTACCCGAATTTTGTGCACATGATGTTGTTCAGAAGAACCGTGAAAACTCGACGACTGAATCAGGCAGCTCAGAGAAGGAAACTCCGCCTAAATCATTCACCTGAGCTACAGATTGTAGCTCACTTCATTTGCTAAAGCTAGAAAATCTTATTTACAGTTAGTAGGTTTCATTACCAAGGTTTGACCTGGTAATTTTGAATAAACTGAGCATCGGGTAGATTGTTATAAATAAATACTTGTAATATCCCAATGAGTAGAAAAAGGAGATTTTCGGACGTTTCGTGACTTAGTGTAAGCCACTTCTTCAGAGAATAAATAACCAAAGCGAAACTAATCCAAGTTTAAATAGTACAAAGGAATAACAAGAATATTATATAATGTATTATATATACTGTTTAATATTCTTGCTATTTCGTCGTACTATTTAAACTTGGATTAATTTTGAGTTGGTTATTTATTCTCTGAAGAAGTGGCTTAAAATAAGTCACGAAAGGTCAGAAAATCTTTTTACAGTTAATTTATTTGCTAAAATATAGCAGTCTATGAAAAAATAGAATAGGGTGAATGACTGAAAAATCGAATTGGTGTCGTGTCACAGATTGCTTACAAAAGTCGGATATTGAGAATAAGTTACTTAATGATCGGCCACTGAAAAATATCAGAGTGAATATAATCGTTCACCACAGAGATATTAAGAACAGAATATTCGAAAGTTATAATGATGGATAATTAATAGTTGTGGAAAATAATTGGAGGGGAGTAGGTCGAAAATTTCTGGTCGTCGGTCTGTGCTCCTTTAGGGGAAATATCAAGGAGCCTTAGAACCATGTTACAATGAGGGATTGAACACACTGTGTTCTGTACACAGAGGGTAGACTCAAATTTGTGGATAGCTACAGTCTCTGTTGTTTATAAATTTTAACTTGTATTCGTTTGAACCGATTCCTCTGACTGTATGAATGATTGTCAAACAGGATTTGAGTGAAGCCGAGTGACCAGAATTAACTGGATACTCCAAGATTGGGCTATTGACTGACTTTGTAATCCTTGAGATAGACAAGCAAGGTATTTTTCTATTGTTGATAAGTGATATCGTCGAAACAAATTTTTTATCTGAATTGTCTTTATTTGCCCTCGATTGACACAATGGGATTATCCCGATATTTGAATTTTGGACGATCAAACAAAATACCACTACAAATCTCAGTAGTGTTGACCGAGTTCAAAGCACTTCATGTAATTATAGGAAGTTCATCATTGGCATAGTTCACTTACAAATATTTTAACGTCTTTTCATACTACCGCTTGTATACCCAGCGGTCGTATGCGTCAACCTGAAAATGACTGTCATTCTCATATATCTACATGTCGACGCCTAATTTTCAGTTTTAGAATTGATCATTTTCGTTTATTCATACCGACTATTTTGAGAAGACTGATAAGATGTCGATTAACACAACACTCACAAGACTTAATTTAACTTTTCTTATATTACAATGAATAGCTTTGAAAATAGTGATCATCCAGTTCATGTGTCGTCAATGAAACCAGTATAATTTGGCAACGAAACGCTTTCAGGAATTCATATTTTTCGTATATTTCACATACCCACAGTACATTGAATATCACTATTAAAACAATGACCTTCATCAAGTATCTACAACCCCAAATAAACAAACGGCCTCTCAACAATATGGACACCTTTCATTCAACATCATACGATGTTTTAATCCGACTAACAGAGCGACATCAGTGTAATATCAAGGGCGTGTGTTAAAAACCGTTCTAATTCTTACTCATTTCAACGTCTTATTTTTCTTCTAATGATATTGATCGTGTTCACAACATTTTGTGGGATGTTGTCCTGAAAGTGACCTTCACCTTATCACAAACACCTTCATATATCCATGCCTTACTTTCACATATCTGCTCATATTTCATAGAGCTGATTTCGATTATTTTTAACCGTATGCTTACCGTTTGTGAATAGGCAGTCATTTTATTTTCTCTATTTGAGTATAGAATGTATATAGTATTTGAACTATCTCTTTGTCTGTGTTAAGATGTTGAATAAGCAATATCTGTCTGTTACTCAACGGTTGTTTAAATACATTTGATAATTTGTTGGAGCTGTTGTACTTATAGGAACAACAATGCTTTGTATTATATTGGAACTGTTAACGACCATCGAACAGAAAGAGAAATTCTTGTGAGTTTCATCACCAGTCTCTTTTGTGAAAGTAACTACTATTAAAGCCAAGAGGGAATCAGGATACTTTTGTCATTCAATTAACAACTTTTAACTAACTCCACTCTAAATGAATTTCTATTTCTATCACATCAAATAAGACAATGACAATAAATCCGAAACTGAATACATTTACATTTCTTAATGAGCATCAACTGTGAACTAAACAAACATGAAATTAATATTTTAATTATTTGTTGATACTGCAGTACTGACAGGTATTCTTCGAATTTGTTAATATTTTATTAACACAACTCAAAGTAACTATTTGAAGTGGATGACATACAAATTGAAGTCAAAATCAACTTCGGTGACGATAAGTGAATTTAGTTCAATTTGACTTAATTATTATCGACAATAAAGGTCACAAAGCTAACGAAAGTGTTGGGAATTTCTTAAAATTAAATTAGATTGAAATAAAGTTCGAATCTCGCGGGGTGCCGTATCGTGGATACGCACTGCTGAGGAGTCCCATACTAGGGTGAAACGGCCGTCCAGTACTTCCAGGTTTTCCATGGTTGTCTAGCTTCAACTGACTCATGATTTCAACCGGTGAAATTTCTAAAATCTCCACAAAACCCATTCTGATAATTACTAAAGAGTTACTAATATCATCCCAATTAGTGATCAATATTGAACGACTCCTGTAAGTCACTTTTAAATTCTGATCATTAAGTCGGGTTTATGATTGTCTTACATTCAGATTTGAATAGAACATATATTTTAGGCTTATCATAGATTGGCTCTGATAGGTTCTTGTTTGTTATTAAGAGGAAGATTTGAACAAGGATTCCTTATTTAGATTCCCTCATTTACTCATTGAGAACTATAATTGGTAGATTTATTCAAACTTTCATACTTAATAAATGGTTATATATGCTCTGTTCAATCTCCAATAAATTGGATTCATGTGTTCTTATTTTTGCTTCATTTTTAATTACTAGTAGTACTCTCTTAGAAATCTCCAAGATGATGACAATATTTGATCATATTCATTTGGTTCATTATAAACTAGCTATTGAATGCATATAATGTATTGCATTGTTTACTTTGATTTGATTGTTTGCTTCAACTGTTGGTGTAGAACTGTTATGTTTTCGCTACAATTTAATACAAGTATTTTTGTATGGAGTTGCTGATTAACGAAAAAATATAATAAATTAATACTATTCTGCTTCAATTGTTGTTCTGGGTTTATTCATATTCATAGTGTGATTGAATAGTCAATGAATTTGCAAATAAGACGTATCATAGTTGAAGGTTATTATTTTATTATTCTTGTTATATTTTGATAAATAGAACTATATTGTAGATGAATTTTATAATGACTAAACATTAGTAGAAAATTATTAACAATGATTCACAATTGAATTCAAAAGCATTCATTCAGTTTACTTGACTTTAACTAACATAACTGATGAGAATTTGTTCTGCTGAAGTGTTGACGTGCTAAGCAAATAAAACTCGATTAGGTATATTCCTTTAGACCAAATCTATACTGAAAGGAAAGTCAGTCCAACTTGAACTAATTAAAACATTAATTATTGCTGTCCCGATCTTCGTTTATTCTTTCTCTTGTTAATTGCATTTTACATTGTTAATGGAAAATGTAATGAACTGATATCTGATGAAATAACTAGCCACTTACAGAAATATGTATTAACATTCATAGCATAAGTTTATCTATACGCCTACCTTCTTATATTATTTAGCTAACAATTAGGTCTACATAATAGATAGTAAAAACCAGTTTGTACGAAACAAGTCAATAACCCAATACATCAATATTAACAAGAATTACCTCAAGATATTCAGCACTAAAAGGCGTCGGTTAAAGGCACTAACACTCGGTAATAGTGCTCCCCAACTAGACTGATCATATTTAAGTATTGAAAATGTATTTATTTGTTTAAAGCGAAGAACTTTACTTGGTTTACGTCAGTACAGACAGCTGAATTTTCGAAACAATCCCAATTTTTACTAACTATATGGTTAAAAATGTGGTCTTTCGTAAAGTTTGAAACCCACTCAACAAACTAGAGTTGTTTTTATCATAAAAGTTTAGTTGTACTCTGACTCCGAACAGTATTTGAGGATAAAGATATAGTTTATAGGATTCTAGACAGGTAATCTGTAGTTCATGAATTCCAGTAAGCATCTAATTTGAGGAAGTATTTTGTATTACCCATTTTGTGGCATTTTACTCATTTATCACATTCGTTTGAATATAATAACTACAAAGACTGCATTTAGTTGTGACATGTATTTCATCTTCTTTTTTGTATAATCTTTTAGACATATACGATGTAGTATGCTTATCACAAGCTCTGACTAACTAAAGGGAGTTCCTTTAAAATGTGTCTTGATTAAATTGTAGTTCAAAATGTAATTCACGTCCTTGATCACAACAGTACTTGAAAATTCATGATACTAGATAAGTGTTGTGCCACTTTCCTTGAACGGTAAACAAAATACACATTGAATAACATAGAAATTTAATGATAAAGTTTATTTGATTTAAATAAGTAAGATTATCCAGATCTTATTACTGTTCCACTTTATGACATTTCATCAGAGGTGCTTCCAAAACCAGTGTTTTGTCAATCACTTGAGCAGAAACAGATAATGGGTCCAGTGTTTCCGGAATTTCATATGAATGAGTGAATTCAGTATAGGAACCCGAATGATCACCATTCATGTAATGACGACCCGAAAGCATAATTCGGTTCGAATCAACACTGATGCACAAGTCTTCAGGTTTATAAACTGGATCCAATGATATTTCAACATGTAAATCCTTACCACCGTTCTGGTTGTCAACAATGGAGTAACCATTAACACCTAAGAAGAAATAAAGAAATGAGCTAAACTATAAACAATAGATGATTAAATAATAGGTTTGAAACGTTGGAATTCTTGATTAAATAATAGGTGTATAATATAAATACAGATGTATTTGGCTCACCCTTGACTGCCAGTTTGTGAGCATTTTGAACTTGATTATGTGACTTAGGCCGAATGGCAATCTGACCGTTATCATTAAATGTGAGTGATTGATAGTCAGGTACACTAGCTGGAGCTCCAAGCTTCAAGACACCGTCCTGAAGTAAACAAATTAGAAACAGATACGTCTAATTTATGAGTGACAGTAAACAAAACAAATGGTCTCATATACAATATTTTGCATGACTCACGCTAGTTAGACTACAATTCAACTGGTTGCGGTCGATCGATTTAGGGAGTTCAATTATGCGACAAAATTCACGACAACAACTGGAATCTTCCGTCTTTATCTCCTTCTTGGCTTGTACTTTAATGTAATCGTCAGTCGATGTCACCTCGATATCTTCGGGTTCAAAGCCCTTCGCATCAAAACACACTTGAAAGTGCACCTAAAAAACAAAACACTGTTTGGTTGTCCTAGGTATTTGATGTGATTTCGTAAAAATGTTCAATAGAAATAAGATATGAATTCTCACTTTCCCATCTTCACCTATTTCATAGGCATCCTTAAGATAATCGTTTATCGAGCCTGTTGAATGTATTTCATCATCACGAAGCTGGTCCCGTATGTCTTGCATTTGACGCTCCATTTGATCCATAAGCAAAATAGGGTCACAGGTCCCCACGAGACCATATGTACTTAGAGGCTGAAATGTGAAGAACCCAGAGAAGTCATTGTTAGCTATATTTTAGCTTGTCGAGAAAGAGATATATTTGAATTTTAGAAATGCACATTGGTATGAGAATTCAAGGCATGAAAAACGTATTAAATATTTTTGTTTAAAAGGCGCTGATCTTAAGTTGAAATATTACAACTATCAAAATATTAAGTATGTTGAACTGTAACTCAAATGAGTTTTTGAGTATTTAATAGGTCAACTACAAAATAACCGGTCACTAATGAAGAATTTATTGTTTCTTCATTAACATTTGTTTTCGATAGTTAGTGATACAATGTAAATCACTAAACGTTCTTTAATATTCTTCAGATACCTACACCTTTAATGGCTCTAGTTTTCGTCGCACTTTTCTGCTAATGATCTTGTACCTTAACAAATGAAGCGATGAGAAAATGTTAATAACAAACTCACCAAGAGTGTAAACATTCCTTGTTTCAAACGTCGAATTCGATCATTCCAGCTTTTCCATGACGAATCAATCCAACCATTTAATTCCTTCGGCCATTCATCAGTATATAATTCAATAGAGCCATCACCATTCCTATGCTCCAAGGTTCTTAGCAAATCACGTCTTTGTTTCTCAAATGTACGGTTTTCGCAATTTACGGGAATACTGAAAACCTCATGCTTTTCATTTGACATTTTATAAATACACTAATAAAAACTAGTGAAAATATCAAAGTTTTGATTTTTATAACACAATGTTAGTATTTGCCTATATTTTTATTCGAAAAACAACTGATTAGAAAGTTAAAAACTGCAAATGTTTTAGGACAAGGTCATTATTTTACAATTGATTAGAATTTACTTAAAAGTTGATTGGATAGATAACATGTTTCTATTAGTTTACCATGAAATCCAATCATATTGTGATCTATTTCATATGAACATATACAGAATTACATAATTATGAAGGTTTGACTCTTACATTTCAAAGTATCCTCCTTGTTCGTCCATTCTGTGTCTATTTCAAAGCTCCAAATGAGATATGTCATATCAAAGTCGAATAGGAGACTTTATTGCGAACCACATAATTGGTGACAGTTGTTTGTTACTAGCCAATAAAAAAATTCTCGGATAGATAAAGCTAGATGATAATTTTATCAGAAAGTATGATTAAAGAAACGCTTGTTGTTGTCAGCTTTTTACCAGAACACGATTTAATGAAGTATTCATGAAAACTAACCTTTAGACTGCAGAACGTCTGAGGGGTGAACAGAATTTATCAAAACTACATTTAACGAACGATGTGAAAAACATTATAGACTGTAGTTTGATAACAAGAACTCACTTGGGGCCGACATAATACTCAACATTAAATACAGTAGAGTGGAGAACGGAACGTAAAAATATACATGACATACTATATACCATGGTTTATAGAAACGGCAGAAGTGATGCATGGATCTGAAAAGTTAACAAGATGTTTGGCGAAATCTCAACTGGGCATAATGAATGACTTCGAATTAAATATCACTGATGAATGTATGATTACTCGTTGCGACTAGTACGCACGGACGGTGCCTGAGTGATACTAAACTAAATTTGAGAAACTCTGACCAATTGGTAGTTTCAAAATAGGATCAGGAATTAGAATGATGGATTGGGATCAGGAATCAGAGTAAGTCATTTTAATACGACTGACATAAGTTATAATGTCGAAATTCCACTCCACCATATAGATGGATAAATTTGGCACCAGAATCCAAGTGTCTCTGTGTGGTGTTTGAATGATTTAATGATTCCTTTGTACTTGTTAAATGCTTGATTTCGAATTCCAAATACAGTACATTCGTTCGTGCTTATCTAGTACATCTTGATCCAATTGCATTATTTCTGGGATTCTTATTTCGTACTATAATTCAAATACTCCTAATTATCACATTGGCGTCGTGATGGAACCTGTGATGGAATTGTTGGATATACATTCAGATTTCGATGCTTTTGAGGAATACTCTGAAAAGTTCGAAATCTGGGCTATGACCAAGGAAGATGATGAAGATGTTAATATTGTAGCACATTTCTTCAGATTCATCGGGAAAGAAGCATACAGCTTATTAAAAAATCTGGCTTTACCGGAAAAGCCCATTTCGCTTCCTTATACAGCTCTCAAGGAACTACTGCTAGACTATGTTAAGTATACAAATTTCGAATGCGGTAACGGAGGAAGATTTCGTAAAATGATTCATGAGGATATGAAAAATTCCACCACATTATGTCATCCCAACCCAGTGCATACTCAAGGTTATGCAGATAATTCATTGAGGAGTTGCGATGCAGTTCACGAATGTGGGCGCAAGTTTGGTCAATGTTTGTCCTGTGTGGCATATTCCACTCTTTCAATTCATGTAAATTTCGTAATTCTGGGTGCTTTAAATGTGGTGATATTGGACATATTCAGTCAGTTTGTAATACTACTGTTCATCTTGCTGCAACTAATATTAAGTCTTGTAATTCTGATTCTACTAAGTTGAGTGTTCATAATGATCATTTATCTTTATCAACGATTTCAAAAGACAGTGTGGAGTCATATAGCAATTCATAGTTAAATGAAACTCAGAATCCATGCGAGACAACAGTTTCTAATCAATCAATTTGTCAGATTTCTCATGTTATTGTACCATATATGGTTTTTCCTAATGATTCACATATTTCTGATGAAAGTCCTTACAAATCTGAAGAAAATATGTTGAATGAATCTAATCGTGATCGAAAAACTGGTGTGGTTTTGATAGATGCTGATTTTTCTAATGATCCTTTACTCTGCAATGACATTCTTAATAAATTCGAGGAAACTATTTCAGAAGAATCAAATCTTGATGTCATATCGAATATTATTTGTCCTCATAATTCATTTGTTGTTTGTGGGAAACTTGATCAGTGCGAAGCACGAGTAATAAGTGAGCTCGATTTTGATAACAATTCGGATGATTTCATACCAACTGCTGTTTATCCTTATCACAAAGTCACTTCTAGTGTTTACTCTAGCCACTGTGAGAAATATATTTTCATAAATTGGGGGTATGAAGTTCCGAAATTATTTCGTGAGGTAGGATAGCCTGAAAGTCTATGGTTCAAATTCTAGGTAGCAGCGGTTTCAGTACACAACCGACATGGTGATTGCACACAATCCCAGGAAGTAGGTGAGTCTGTTCCGATTTCAGTTGTTAATTCTAATAATAATGAGTGAATTCTAGACAATACAGAGTCTTTGTCCAACACACTATCCGACAGACATAGGATGAACTTAAGGAGAAAACGTACAATGGATTACAGAAAGTTGGACTCCAATTTAATCTGTGGCGGATGTGGTGTTTGAATGAACTAATGATTCCTTTGTACTTGTTGAATGCTTGATTTCACATTCTAAATGCAGTACATTCGCTCGTGCTTATCTAGTACATCTTGATCCAATTGCATTATTTCTGGGATTCTTATTTCGTTTTATAATTCAAATACTCCTAATCATCACACATTTTTGTATGGAATACTGCGGTAATAATAGTTGACGGATTATAACAATCGTTTAAACTACGAGCCATCAATGTTGCAATGTTAATCAATAAATTGTTCATACTTGAACAAGCTTATCTATGTTTTACTGTTTGTTAAGTAAATATAGGTCTCCTTTGTGGTTTTTCTATTCAGCGCGTTTGGGAAAAGAAGTACAAAATAACCTTCTTCAGGGGCTAACTAAAATATGTTTTCGAAGTTTGTGAATTTATTTTGTTAAACTAATAAAATCAACATCAACGGTCTTAAGCATATGAGCAGCCTAAACGGAATCGGAGATTTAAAGTTCGAAATCTAAATGACACAGTATTAAGTTTTATCACACTACAATATAGGTCCGGCAAAAATATAAAGTATTAGTGGAGAAATAACTTATATTTTTCCTTGTGGTTTGGATCTGCAGCTACACTATGACATACTAATCAACTGCATCAAGTCTTTATAAGAGGTGGTTTGTCATAACAAATTCGACTGGTAATGGTGATAATAATCGTTTGTTGAGATAAAAATCATGCAATATACGACAACATGGAGAAAAACTGGAAAATGTTTGTGAAATTGAGGAGTTTACAAAGTTACGTCAGCACAGTTACCACTCAATATAATTCAGTCAGTATTCCAAGTGAGAGTGTGATATCGCTTCCTGAAAACTGCATGTTTTTTTTGGACTCAACATGAAACACTGGTAAGAAACTATTATACATGTATTGTATTTTATGCAGGACGTGAATAAATAGTAGCAAATACTATCTTATCTTGAGCGCAAACTTACTTCTCCAACAAACGTTTTTTTCGCTCTTGCAAATATTCTCATAACTATAAGTCGTAAATTGAAATCTTGTTTTCGAGTCATATCCTTTTCAAGTTCGTTGAGAATCCAAATGATCGACAGTTCGATCGAAACCACAACACCGATCAAACACTGATCCGCACCAAACTGTAAATGGATTGTTCAAAAGTAACTGGATGAGAAATATCTATTCCATAAACAAGAATCTGCAAGACAACAATGTTACCTAATCCTCTGTTTCTCCATCATAAATCTCAAGAAACCATAGATAAATTATTTACTGAGCTCTTTTACATTCTGTCTTCACACTCCTTTTATCTAACTCCTTTTTACGTATTACTTCATACTACTTCAGTAAACAGTCTCACTTCTAAAAAAAGTTTGAGTTTACAGTGTGGGATATATTTGTCATCAGTTTCAGTTTCAGTTTGGGAAGGACAGGAGGCTCGATGGCCTATGTTAGTCCTGGCAATGGTGGTCTCTCAGTTGATCCAACTTTCTTTTGAAAGAGTCGACGGATGGAGCCTCAACGACGTGCTGAGGTAGTGAATTCCACTCGTTGATGATTCGATGGGAAAGTCGATAGTCAGCTGACAAGTAATTTGTTCTCGGCTTATGAACTTTTTTGGAGTGTCCTCGTAAATTCTCTGTTTTGGAAGACAAGAAAAATGAGGGCATGTTAGGTGCAAATTTATCACTAAGCAATTTGTAGACTGTAATCAAGTCGCCTCTAGTTCTGCGATATGACAACGGGAAAAGGTTCAGCTTGGCCAGTCGAGATTCATACGGAAGCTTCGCTATTGCGGGAACCAGCTTAGTCGCCGTTCTCTGAACCTTTTCCAGAAGCTCACTGTCTTTTTTAAAGCAGGGGCTAGCCGCCTGTATGCAGTACTCAAGTTTAGGACGAACGAACACTGTATACAAAGTCAAAAACGTCTTAGTGTCGACATGACTAAAAGCCCTACGTATTGACCATAACGTTCTAAAACTTTTGGCGGCTATTGCACGGCAGTGTGCAGTAGTCTTTAAGTCTTGACTAACGATAACTCCTAAGTCATTATATGTCTGGACGACAGGTAGCTCAGTGTTATTCATCGTGTATGTATCTGTGCCTTGATGACCGATATGCATCACAACACACTTGGAAGTATTTATCGGCAACTGCCATGTTTGAGACCATTCAGATAACTTCTTCAGGTCATTTTGAAGTTCTAAGCTATCACTCTTACATCGTATCGTTCTCCATATCTTGACATCGTCAGCATATAGCAAGACCGATGATGATAGGAGACAAGGAAGGTCATTTACATACAAGAGGAATAGCACTGGCCCCAAAACTGTACCCTGGGGCACTCCGCTAAGCACAGTTTCCCAGCTAGATAACTTTGAGTTCACCCTTACTCTTTGTTGA